TTACTTTACGTCAAGCCTTCCATAAAATTACGTTATTAGAGGAATCTATGTTGTATTTGGTTATTGTACTATGCTGCATTTTTTTAATTTCACACTTTATAAAAATCTATTTTATTTTACAGTTTGAGAGAGTCCTTAATAGATGATATATGCCTAGAGAATTATACAATTTGCTGCGGTTGTTGAGCATATCAAAACTTCTTTTTGTACGATAATTTTTTTTTAAGATTTCATTTATTTATTCATGAGAGATACAGAGAGAGGCAGAGGGAGAAGGAGGCTCCTCGCAGGGAGCCCGAAGTGGGACTCGATCCTGGGACCCTGGCGGGGCAGGACCTGAGCCGAAGGCAGACGCTCAACCGCTGAGCCACCCAGGTGTCTCAGGACCCAAAACTTGACAGAAAAGTCTTTAAGACCAATGATCTTTCAAAGATTGGTATTTGATATTAGTATTTCAAGAATATAGCTTTATAAACGTGCCTTATGGTGGAAACTTCCTAACAACTCAGTTAATAAAATGATGAAATACACTGGCCACAGTAGCTTAGGCATTATTACAGGCATGCCTTTATTCAGCATTCTTGGGAAAGACAGAAAGGAAAATGTCTAATGAGTCCAGATTATATTTTCAATTCCAAAATATTTGCTGACATAGGAAAAAAGCTTACCTAAAAATGTATTCTTCATAGAAAATCAGATTATTTCATTTGTGATTCTCACTGCAGATGGAAAATAGCCAATCTGAGGTCAGAACCTTGTGGGTAGGGCAGCCCCGGGGGGTGGGGGGTGGGTTTAGGGGTTTGGGGCGGCCTTCGGCCCAGGGTGTGATCCTGGAGACCTGGGATCCCCACGTCCAGCTCCCTGCAGGAGCCTGCTTCTCCCTCTGCCTCTCTCTCTGGGTCTCTCCCGAATAAATAAATAAAATCTTTAAAAGGAAAAAAAAAAAAGCTTACTTCTCAGAACGTGACTTGAGGGAATGGAGTAAACAGAAGGCGACCAGAAACCTCAAGAGTCATTACTCTTTACAAGAACTGAAGTTGCTGGGGCGCCTGGGCGGCTCAGCGGTGGAGCATCTGCCTCTGGCTCGGGTCGTGACCCCGGGGTCCCGGGATCCAGTCCCGCCACCGGGCTCCCTGCACGGAGCCTGCTTCTCCCTCTGCCTCTCGTGAACAAATAAAAAATAAAATCGCAATAATAATAATAATAATAATAATAAAATAAAAGATTCGAAATCCCTAAATCATATTTTCAGTCTCAGTTTAAAAAAAAAAAAAAGAAGGAAAGAGAAGAATTAAAAAAAAAACATACAGATAGATGCCATTTTACTCCGTTTGACCAGTGGTGGGGTTTTGTGCAGCGTGTGCTCCCATTCCGGGAGTTCACTCATTACAAGGGATATTTTAATTCTGGATCCTACCCCTTTTCCAATTGCATAAAAAAATATGTCTAATAACAGATATTTTAGAAAGATTTCCTGGGGGGGGGGGCAACCCCAGATGTTCACATCACCATGTAAATAAGCCGGCTATGACTGATCCTGAACTTTAAATAGTGTTTATTTTGCCTAATAGAGAAAAGGCACCGTGCAGCGGCGGGAGCCCGGGTCGCTGCGCTCTGCTGGGCTCCTGCGGCTCCTCCCCGAGGCCCGGGTGCCAAGGCGGGGGGGGGGGGGGGGGCTTGCGGCTTCCCCGGGCGCGCAGGGGCCCCCGCGGCCTCCCCGCCTGCGGCAGGGGCGCGACCTCGGTGCCGGAGTGGGGAGGCCGCGGGCCTGGCAGGTGCCCCGGGGGGGGGTGCGCACTGCCGCCGGGCTCGGGGCCCCGGACCTGCTACTTTTTTTTTTTTTTTCTTTTTTTCTTTTTTTTCTCTTTTGGGTAAGGCCGTCCCCCTGATCGCTTTAAAGACGAGGGACGGACCGGGAGGTCGCGGGGCGGCGAGCCGGGCGTGGGCCGCGAGGGGGCGCTGGGCCGCGGGGCCGGGGCGGCGGGCGCGGGGCCGGGGCCGGGGCCGGGGCCGGGGCCGGGGCCGGGGCCGGGGCTGGGACCCGCGCGCCGTCACGTGGCCGCGCGGGGCGGAGTCGGGCCGCGGGGGCGCCTCCTGCCCGCCGGCTGCTCTGCGGGGCCGGAGCGGGAGCCGCGGTGCCTGCGCGCTTGCCGGGTCTCGGTCCTGCGGCTCGGGGCGCGGGCCCGGCGGGAGCCCCCGGAGGTGAGTTCCGGGCGGGCACCCTCGGGGGACGCGGGAGGAAGCGCCCAGGGACGGCGAGAGCGGGGACGGGGACGGGGACCCCGAAACGTGCGCGCGCCCCGCGGTGGCCCGGGTCCGCCCCGCAGCGGGGCTCGGGGTGCAGGCGGCTCGCGGGGTGCTGCGGGCGCTCCGGGGCGCTCCGGGCGACCTGCCCCCGCTGTCTCGGCGTCCTCCGGCCCGCAGGCGACCCGTCCCCTCGTCGGCTCTCCCGCCGGCCCTGCCCGCGCTTCTCCCAGCGCTTCTCCGGAGCGGGGTGCGCGGGGGGGTGCGCGGAGGGTGCGCTGGGGGGTGCTCGGAGGGTGCGCGGGGTGTGCGCTGGGGATGCCCGGAGGGTGCGCTGGGGGTGCTAGGAGGGTGCGCTGGGGGGTGCTCGGAGGGTGCTCGGAGGGTGCGCGGAGGGTGCGCGGGGTGTGCCCGGAGGGTGCGCTGGGGTGCTCGGAGGGGGCGCGGGGTGTACGCTGGAGGTGCCCCGAGGGTGCGCTGGGGGTGCACTGGGATGCCCGGAGGGTGCGCTGGGGGTACCCGGAGGGTGCGCGGGGGTGCGCTGGGGGGTGCTCGGAGGGTGAGCGGGGGGTGCTCGGGGGCTGCGCTGGGGGTACCCGGAGGGTGCGCGGAGGGTGCGCTGCGGGTACCCAGAGGGTGCGCTGGGGGTGCGCCGGGGAGTGCGCGGAGGGTGCTTGGGGGTGGTGCGCGGAGGGTGCGCTGGGGGGTGCTCTGGGGCTGCCCGGAGAATGCGCTCGGGGTGCGCAGGGGCTGCGCTCGGAGTGCGCGGAGGGTGCGCTGGGGGGTGCTCTGGGGCTGCCCGGAGAATGCGCTCGGGGTGCGCGGGGTTGCGCGGAGGCACCGGTCGTCGGGACGGTGCGGGGGGGGGGTCCCCCGGCCCCCTGGATCCTCCGCGCCCGCCGCCCGCGCCGCACCTGCCCCGCGGGGAGCCGACGGAGGCGAGGGGCGGGCTTGCCCCGGGGGGGGGGCGCGGAGCCGAGCGCAGGCTCCCCCCGCCCCTGTGGCCCGCGCCCTGGGCCCCGAGCCTCGGTGGGTCCCGGGTCCTGCGCTCGCAGCGGGCGGCGATGGGAGCCGGCGGGCGGCGGTGCCCCAGGCCGCCCCGAGGGAGAAGGTTCTGGGGCCTCAGGCGGGTCCGGGGGCACCGACGGGAGCTCGGGCTCCGCTCGCCGTCCCGGGCTTCGGAGGATCCTCGGGCCGCCCGGTCCCCGCGGGCGCAGGTGTTCCTTGGCAGAAGGGCGCGAACGGGGGGGGGGAGTCGGGGCGATTCCGCCGGCGCCCACCGGAGAGCAGGCGGCAGGGAAGCGGGCCCGTGGGGTTTTCACGGAACCGCCCCATTCGGTTCTTTGGGGCGAGCAGGACGGGGCGGAAAGCCCGGGAGGGCTCGGGGAGGCGCGGGGGGCCGTGCGGTGACCGCCCCCCCCCCCCCGGTCCGGCCGGGAGCTCGCCCGCAGGTGGCGGCGCTCGGCGCGGGAGCAGGTGCGCCGGCTGCGGACCGACCCGGGGCGCGTCTCCGCAGGAAGCGCCCGCGCGCAGGGCAGAGGCGGCGGGAGGCCGGCGTCCCCGGGGGCAGAGGTCCCCTCGGCAGGCGGCCGGCCTGCTCACTGGTGATGTGTGCAGCGTCTCCATCGCTCTCTGAGGGCCCAGGGCAGCTATATGGAGATTTGCTGACATTTAACGACCTTTAATTTTTGCGATGTCTGCAGTTGCATCTCTGGTTTTGAATATTGGGACAGTGGGTGTCAAATCACCTTTTTGTTTTTTGCAAAGGTGATATATGCGAATTCTTTCTCGGTGATGTTTTTCGGACAGTAATTCTTTCTCGAAGTAATCCTCAGGTGGGCTGGAAATGCGCGATTTTTTTTTTTCCGATGCAGAACCGTTTTACCCAACTGGAATGACTACCAGACATGCACTTAGAAAAGGAAGCTTTGCAAACATTTAAAGAAAAAAAGAATAGTTTACATTTTCAGTGTAGCTAAGTCAATGTCTGCTTAGAAAGACTACTATTCCTTACAGGGCATGTCCCTCAAATATTTTTTCAGAGGTATCAGAGTTTCATTTCGGTTTTCAGTAAAACCATCTGCAAGGAGCTGCCTTTGTAGCCCACACGCTGTAGAAGAATTTTGTCAAGATAAGTCAATGGATGTAAATTTTCTATTTTTCTTCCTTTCCACTATAAACACCTCAGTCTGTGTCTCCATTATCTCTAATCTGGATTATTGTATTTGCCTTTTAATGAATCTCCCTACTTCTTCTCTTTCCGACCTTAAGTCTGTTGAAAACAGCAGCTACAGTAACAATTTAAAACAAGCCATATGGAGGCGCGCGGGCAGGTCAGTCTGCCTTTGGCTCAGGTCATAATCCCAGGGTCCTGGGATCGAGTCCCACATTGGGCTGTCTGCTCGGCTCGCGGGCTTCTTCTTCCTCTGCCCCCCTCCCTGCTCGTACTCTCTCCCTCTCTCTCTTTGTCTCCGAAATAAAACAACCCATACTACTTCATGCCTCTACCAAAGACTCTCTGGGGGTTCCTCGCCTTTCCTAGAAAAAAGTCAAACTGTCCCAGGGAGTAAGGCTTTACATAATCTGTTCCTCTTCTGCTTACCCTTTGCAATTAATTTTCTACTAGGCTGTCCCTTATTTATTCCACTTATCGTTGCTGTTTACTACGCCAGGTACACTCAAGCCTCAGGGATTCACCTTTGTTCTTTCCACTTGGGATGCGGTCCCCGACATTTCTACACGGGCTTCTTCACTCACCACTTTCAGGTCTCAGCTCATACGCCACCTCTTCCAGCAAGCAGGGGCCTTTCCTACCGCCCAGTAATAAAGGGCAGCTCCCAACAACCCCAGAACCCCTCTTTGCCTTATTTTTTCTGTCTGATACTTATCATCTGGCATATGATCCCTTTTATCAGTTTATATTTTCTTGGCTTTTGGTCCACAAGACCAGTCACTCAATGAGAAGGTCACTGTTGTCCCCAATAAAACCATGCCCGACGCAAAATAAGTGTTCAATAAGTATTTCTCAGATGAATGAACTTTCTTTCAGCAACAATTCCTTTTTTTTTAAACATAAAAATGGAGCATTTTCCCCTCTCTACCCGACCTCATAAAATGATTATTGTAGTTAGCATCCATCTTGCGCGTAAAAGGACTATGACAGAGTTCAGAATTAATTCACACAAGAACCTGCTATTCCAGCCATGCGCCTGCTATGTCAGTCAACACGTTTTGGTTCTAAATCTAGTATTTGCAAGGTGCTATGAGGTATATGCACGACTTATCTTAAAGAGCTTGTGTTTAATTGGGAAGAGCCAGTTAAGGATTTAAGGGCACCAAATGATAGAATGGGTAGGATTTGGATTGGTGGTGAGACAGAAGCACCCAGCCAGGGCAAGGACAGGGACAAAGATGAGTGCAAGAGGCTACAACAGGCTGGGAGGCGCTTGGTGGGCTGGGGGAACAGAGCACTCCCGATGGGGCTGTTGGAGCAGGGAGCGAAAGGCAAAGGGCAGGAAAATGTAGAGGTCTTCAAGGGTGAGGATTGCACTCGTGTGTCTTATTCCAGAATGCTTCCTCATCTGGTGGTGTGTAGTGACAGGGAGCCATGAGAAGTCAGAGGACAGAGAGGATGCACTTGCCTATTATGCTAGTTTTGCTTTAAAAAACGAAGAGAAACTCACAATTAACCAGTAAGTCATGTTGAATATCTTGACAGCAGCGCGAGTGGGAAGTATGGTGCAAAGATTTTCTAGAATTCTTCAGTGAGGAATTTGCAAAGAAATGTTCGATTATCACTGGCTTCTTCAAGGTTTGTTCTCAGACCCTAAGAGCCAGAGATTATTCTCTCTGCCTTTGGCATCCCTGAGAGAAAAAAGGGTGACGGCTGCATGAGTTCAGGAGCCATTATGTGTTATTGGTGGTTGCACAGGGGTGGAGAGAGCCATACTTCTGAAAACATTTACACTTGAAATCATTCTTAGTGTTAACTCTTCCATTCTTACTAAATGCTAGAAACCTTTGTTTTTATTCTTCAGCTTTATAAAGCCAAGTTGTGCTTTTATAATAAGAAACATCTCATATTCTAGAAAGCAGAAACACTCAAGGAAAGGTTCATTGAGGGCGTCGCTTAAAAGGCAAATGTTCATTAAATTTTTTATCTCCTTTGAAATGGAAGTAAATCTGCATGATTTTCTTTATTCTCACATAAAAAAAGACGTAAGCGCAATTCCCTTTCTTAACACAGGCACAGTGGCCTGTTAATTAACATAAGAAATCCCAAATCTCATATGTTTATTTAGCAATCTCAAGGAAATCAGATTTTTTAAAAAGGAGCTTTTAATCTCTAAAAAGCCCACTGTCTGCACTTTCTCTTGCTGGTAAGAAAAGAGTCTTTGTAACGCAAAATGCTGTGAAAGATCAAAATTACCACTAAAATGTAGGTCCCTGCACCGAATCAGTATTAAAGTCGAGTGGGGAGGCAGGTTATTTATATGCATAAAGTCTTAGAAAGCCTTTGAAAGCTTCTGACATATTAATAAATTCTAGAATCTTAAAACTAGAAAGAACCTCAGAGTTAGAGCCTGTTAAATCTCCTACACAATGCAAGAGCTCCCCAAAAGTCTTTTATGGAGTAGCTGCAAACTTTGAGGTCCGGAGCCCTCCGTCGTTTTTTGCAGGCACTTGATTTCATTTGATTAAACTTGTGTTCCTCATAATAGGAAATTGGTTTTGTTTTGTTTTGAACATGCACTGCAGTGTACTTGCCTTGGTCGTATTTCTAACTTGTACAGTTAGATTTCGTATCCTAAGCCCAGGTCCTTACAGCACATGCTCTCCACTCAGACCTGAGAAGACGTCCCTACCCTTCCTAGTCTTTTCGGGATTAACCGTCTTCTGTGCTTCCCACAGTCCTTCATTCGACAGAGGTTTGATGTTTGACTCTACTGATCATCGCGTGACCTCGTGCTAAATAACGCCGGCCTTAAAGAGCAGTTCGGTGTATGGTGGAGCGGTTAGTACGACTTAGTGAATTATTTCATTTCTACAGTAAGAGGAAGAATTCGGGAAACTTCTGTTGTTTTTCTTTGTTTCCTATCTTATGTGTTAATCTGTGCACCAAAATTTTTGTGACACACTCATCTTTTTCCAGTGTTTAGGAATCTGTTGATTTGATTTTTTCATTTAATTAGTTTCCTTAATTTCGGTTTATATAAGACTTGGGACATGAGATTTACGCACACCCGACTGATTTACAGGCTACTACATTTTGCTGAATCGAAATGTAGTAATTGCAAGTCGAATTAAAAATATTAGGAGGGTCTTTTTTTTCTTCAAAATGTTTGCACTGTCTCTGCTCTTCTAAAAAGATGTTTATACAGATTACATTTTGTTTCTTTATTTCGGTGTCTTCACTTAAAACAGTAAGTACTATGCGTCAGAATTCATTTGGACTGCCCTCGATAAAATTAGTAATGCCATTGGTCATTTTCTCTTTACAGATTGTTCAGTTCAAGGGAATGAAGAATTCAGAATAATTTTGATAAGTGGATTGCAATATGGAGAATAAGCTGAACATTTGATCTGCTTTGAAGAATCGTATTTCGCCTTTGTCTAGAGTAATCCGTAACAACCAAACCAATCACAATGAATTCAACATCATTTTCCCAGGTTGAAAACCATTCAATCTTCTGTAATTTTTCAGAGAATTCCCAGTTTTTGGCTTTTGAAAGTGATGATTGTCACCTGCCCTTGGCCATGATATTTACATTAGCTCTTGCTTACGGAGCTGTAATAATTCTTGGGGTCACTGGAAACCTGGCCTTGATCATGATCATCTTGAAACAAAAGGAGATGAGAAATGTTACCAATATCCTGATTGTGAACCTTTCCTTCTCAGACTTGCTTGTTGCCATCATGTGTCTTCCCTTCACATTTGTCTACACCTTAATGGACCACTGGGTTTTTGGTGAGGCGATGTGCAAATTGAATCCTTTTGTGCAATGTGTTTCAATCACCGTGTCCATTTTCTCTCTGGTTCTCATTGCTGTGGAGCGCCATCAGCTGATCATCAACCCACGCGGGTGGAGACCGAATAACAGACATGCTTACGTAGGTATTGCTGTCATTTGGGTCCTTGCTGTGGTTTCGTCTCTGCCTTTCCTCATCTATCAAGTATTGACCGATGAGCCGTTCCAGAATGTAACACTTGACGCGTTCAAGGACAAATACGTGTGCTTTGATAAATTTCCATCGGACTCCCATAGGTTGTCCTATACAACTCTCCTCTTGATGCTGCAGTATTTTGGCCCACTCTGTTTTATATTTATTTGCTACTTCAAGGTAAGAAAACGTTTCCCCCTACCATTTCCATTTTAACCTTCTTTCCACAGAATCCCATATTAAATTAGTGGTTCTGTTTGAACTTTTTCTCCCCCCTCTCTGTAGATATATATACGCTTGAAAAGGAGAAACAACATGATGGACAAGATGAGAGACAATAAGTACAGGTCCAGTGAAACCAAAAGAATCAACATCATGCTGTTGTCCATCGTGGTAGCGTTCGCCGTGTGCTGGTTGCCTCTCACCATCTTCAACACTGTGTTTGACTGGAATCATCAGATCATCGCTACGTGCAACCATAACCTGTTATTCCTGCTGTGCCACCTTACGGCCATGATATCCACTTGTGTCAACCCCATATTTTACGGATTTCTGAACAAAAATTTCCAGAGAGACTTGCAGTTCTTCTTTAACTTTTGTGATTTCCGGTCTCGGGATGATGACTATGAGACGATAGCCATGTCTACCATGCACACAGATGTTTCTAAGACTTCTTTGAAACAAGCAAGCCCAGTCGCATTTAAGAAAATCAACAATGATGACAATGAAAAAATCTGAAACTTCTGTAGCATATGGTCCCAGAGGACAGCTGTCTAAAAACAAGCACAACTTACAACATACTTTCATTACCTGCTCCCCCAAGGAATGAGGTTGTAATCATTTAAGAGACCAAGATTTGCTTGTCTTGCTTTCTGCTGCTTTTATTGTAGCTGTCGTAATTACGCTGGGACAAAAATGTACGGGCTTTGGAATCTTCTGGCAGGAGTTTCGACCAGAGGTCCTTGAAGTGCTTTTTTTGTAAACATCTGCATATAATACACTTTTATATTCTATTCGTTGGAATGACATTTCTTTAAAATATTACTGTTGACTGACTTTAGAGGCATTACATCTGACACTCCTTAGATCGGGCATCCTGATTTGATTGCATTAGATGGTCACTAGATTGGGCAATCCTGATGTGATGACACACATCATTTCAGGCTGTTACAAAGGTGACAGCATGCGAGATGTGCAGCTCAGCCCATGTCTTGCATACCCACAGTCCGAAGTCATTGAGGAGTGGTTTGCATTTTTTTTTCTTTTAAATTTAAAACCAGACTTAATTTGCTCCTGATTATCACTTAAGATAAAAATGCATAAAAAATACTTCTCAGCTGTGAATATCATGGGGAATTGGGCCACCCACAAGAATTAAGTGGGAAAGCAGTTCTCTAATTTCAAGACTATTTTGGTACCTGACAACCAAAGGATTTCAGAGTAATTAATTTAACAAGCAAATTAGTATTGCAGCAAATAGTTGAATTATATTCGTCTGAATCGGCAAGAGGTTTTCCATTCTTCACAGACTATTCAGTGTTTGTCGAGCTTTCTAGCGTAAATATATATGTGACTCAACAAGCGTTTCCAGCTTACAGTATACAGATACACAAAGTGTATTTTCCATACATCAGTGCCTACATAGTAACTCATTCTTAACTTTTCCAATGTCCGTTCCTCAGAGAAGGACACCAAAGCGTACTGCTAAAAGAATGTCCACCCTGGCTAGCAGGAATAAATACCTGAAAACTGAGAACACTTCATAGAGCCCATATTAACTTGTATAAACCGTGTGCCTTGTGGAGTCTTACGAATAATGTACTTAATAGAGTATGCAGTGGTTGTGTCATGTTAATATACTTACTTTCCTGCATTCTGTAATCGTGATTGAGCCTCAGAATCACTTGGAGCAAAGATATGTTAAAGAACAACATATAACTTTGGTGTATTATAGAAGTATTAAATGTGTTTGATTTTAGAAGGGCAGACATTTTCTTTATTAAAATGGTTTTTGCTTTTTCTGAGTAGTCTCTTCTATGTCCTTCTAGTCTTTCTTCAGTTTCTCTTTTCTTTCTTTTTCTTTAAATTTTTATTTATTTATGATAGTCACACAGAGAGAGAGAGAGAGGCAGAGACAGGCAGAGGGAGAAGCAGGCTCCATGCACCGGGAGCCCGACGTGGGATTCGATCCCGGGTCTCCAGGATCGCGCCCTGGGCCAAAGGCAGGCGCCAAACCGCTGCGCCACCCAGGGATCCCTCTTTCTTTTTCTTTTGGCTCATAGTCTCCCTCCCATGATGTTCCCACAACATCCTATTTCTGCTTATTAATGAAACATTTTCTACCCTGTGGTCTTCCTCCTCCGCTTCTTGAAGCTTCTTGAAGGCAATGGCCACTTTACGTGACTCCATCCCCAGTGCATTTAACACAGTGCCAGATACCTTGAAGTTTGTTTGTTTTTTTTAATATTCCTTAAACAAACAAATGAATAAGCAATAAATTTCCTTCCTTCTCATTTATGATCATACAGACTTTACAACTTGAAATTTTGAGGGGCTCCTCCTTCTAAGTTCATATTTACCAGATGTTTGCCCTCTTATTATGTTATTTTCCTTTCTAAGCCAGGCAAAAATGATATTTTAGATTTCAGAGACTTGCTTGTTTAGTCCTGTCATTCAAACAAATATCAAACTTTTTACATTGTGAGTGTTTGTATGCATCCAGATTCTACCTAACAATGGCTTTAAGTTAGCTGAACAAAGAAAAAAAAATCTAAAACCAACTTTTAACGTACATTGGAAAATATCGTCATCTTTCCTTACCAAAATCTGGAATTTTAAACATTTTTCTGCTTCAGGGGACTAATGGGAAATCTTGTCTTTCTCCACTTAGGTGCTATGGAAACAAATTGCTACTTGAGAACAGCCTTAACACGTAGGTGCTTCTTTGTCAGCACATTTGTTGAGATAGCCATTTCTAAGATTCTCGTTCAGCTATGTAGGCTGCTGATTCCTCATCTTTACATAAATAATGAACTGAATATAAAATCATTTTTTTATCCATAGATGTTGATGAACTACTAGTAAAATCTGAATCAACAACAGATCCAGAGTGACTCAAGAAGAAATAAACATGCACGACAATAGCAACTACAGAACCACTGAGTTTTCTTAAACCCAAGAACAAATGAATCCATCAACTGTCTTAGTACAAGAGCATAATTACAGTGTAGCTTATATGAATTTAGAGTAAAATGATAGTAGCTAGAAGTTTTAAACACTTAGCGTGTGCCAAGTACTATGTCAAATATTTAAGTAGCTGTGAAGATGCATGACTAATGAGACCACTTCCCCTAAGAGGAACGTGAAGCTCAAAGTTGTAAAATTTGAGCCTCACGCTGCATCACAGGTGGAGCAAGAATCCAACCAAGGTCTGTCCGGGGCTATTAAACCAAGCAATGAGCTGAACCTATGATAGAGCTTTAGAAATAATTTGTTTTTCTCTCTTTACAAGTTAAATTATTGGGGCTTAATATTACTACTCACCTTCTTTCTGATTTTGGCTGTAGAAAGGAATGAAGTGAGGAAAAGTTGAGAGAAAATGGCCATTAGGATTACATGTGTCTCTAATTCCCTTGTGAATTAGAGAATTCTACTTAAAAATGGAATCTGATTACTCATATTAGTTTTGTTCCTTTACTGTTAGCTGCATATTCTCACCCCTTTTCTATTCCACAAAATGTTACCTTTTCCAGAATGTCATAAGGAAGCATACCCGGTTTGACGCACTTTAATTTCTTGTGCTTCGCAAACATGGTGGTTTTTGTTTTGTTTTTTTTACAAATTGAAGTTTTGTGGCAACCTTCCGTTGAGCAAGTCTGTTGGTGCCATTTTTCCAACAGCATTTGCTCACTCCATGTCTCTGTGTTGCACCTGGGTAATTCTCACAATATTTCATACTTTGTCATTCTCATTATATCTATGCAGTGTTCTGGCTTCTTCCAGTGAAAGCTGCCATATTAATGCTCATACGGATTCACTGGATATGCACAAAATAAGTCCCAGAGACAAAGTTACTGATCTACAGACTTGTATTGATGTCAGGCTTTGCATTTACCTCTTACATACTTAAGGGAGAGAGAGAGAAAGATTTTTTTTTAAATTGCCTCGTGAGAATGTTGCATTAAAATATGTGTCTGACTCAAGGTCTGTTACCAGATGTTCTTATTTCTACATTAGCTCGTGATATTACAAATGAGTAAATTGATGCCCACAGGAATCAAACCTAGATTTCTGTGATTGCAAAATCCATGGATTGTTCTTATACACCTCTACACCAACAAACATTTAAAGTTTCCTTGTTTTGTTTATTTTTCATGCAATCTATATTACTAGTTGAAAAGTGAGGAAAAGTAATCAAGCAAAATATTGTGCTTTTCCCAAATGACCAAAAAAAAAAAAAAGTGTGACTTGTTTTTCTTATTTTTTTAATTTAATTTTGCTAGTGTTTTGACCCCTACTTTTTTATTTTCTTTTTTATCTTGAGCCTTAGTATTTTAAGGCTTCTAAAACAAATTAGTGAAATGAGTAAGCACCCATATCAAACATTTTCTCTCATTCCATCAGTCTCATTTTATTGCTTATTTCCTTTTAATACTACTATTCATGCATTCCTTCTAGGTAATCTGTTTTATTTTTTTTTTAATTAAAAAAATCGCTGGGACTTAACAAAGGTCTCGGGTCACCAGTACATATTTTTTTAAAGATTTTATTTATTTATTTATTTATTCGTGAGAGACACACAGAGAGAGGCAGAGACACAGGCAGAGGGAGAAGTAGGCTCCCTGTGGGGAACCCAATGGGACTCTATCCCAGGACCCCGGGATCACACCCTGAGCCGATGGCAAACACTCAACCACTGAGCCACCCAGGTGTCCCCTAGGTCATCTTCATAGACATAAATGAAACGCTTGTAATGCACCAATCTCTCTTGGCCTCAGCACTCTTATTTGTGAAATAAGGAAATTAGGCTAAATAATATCTGTATTATATGCAGATATATCTACATCTTATATACATGGTATATCTATATCTAATCTCTATTTCATATCTAAGATAGATAAAAGCTCCAAAATCATGTGATTCTATTTAAGTAAATCTAAGAATGAATTAATAGAAAGGGGATACCTGTTTAGGGACTGTTTCCAGGTAAAATGCTCTACTTGTATGTAACAAGTCCTCTCAGAGGGGTTATCCTGAAAAATAAGGAGAGACATGGTATGGCAAAGTAAGAGGCCTGTGCCACACATGGGGACAGACTGGGGAAAGGTGCAGAAGCTAAAACATGTGACCAAAGGGAAACAAGTTTGACTGGAACAGAATGTAAGATTGAGGTAGACTGGGGAAGTCGGGGGTATGGAGGAGCCAACTGGGGGAAGGCACCTGATTTTCCAAATGGGAAAATTTTTTAAAGGTCATATAAAAGACATTTTAAGACTGGGAACAGAATAATATATTTAGAAATATATTTGGGTGTGAACGAAGTTGGGGAGAGGAAAGCAAATTGCCCCAACTAACGGACTCTATACAGAGTGGAATTCAGATGCAATATGGCCTATAAAGAGCATAGGACCACAGAGGCCAGGAGATTGTGCTGAGGTCCAAGGAAATAGGGAAAATCAGTAATCAGTAAGTGTTGAAAGGAAGACGGTGGTCTATCTTTCCAATAAAAGGTTTGAAATTGGGAAACATAATGAGAAAGTACTAATGTGAAATGACAACAAACAACAGTAACGAAAGCGATCAAACAACCTCATTCCCAATGAAGGAAAAAGGCTATGGGGAAAGAAATCCTTTGTCATCAATGGCCAGTAGTACAAATTATTTCATAGAGGCTGTACTTAAAGTCACCAAGTGAGCGCTTAGAACTCTGCAGCAAGCCATAAGTTAGACACTGCTGTTATTTTAGATAAGGAAGTCACAGTTCACAAAGATTACATAGCATTCCCCCAAATCACAGTTAGTCATTTGCAAAAGCCGAATTTAATCCCACATCTGGGTGACTCCAACAAAAGTCTAGTTAAACACTGGATTATTATACTTCCCACAAGCAGGCAACTGGAAGTTTTAAAAGTTGTATATATATAGCTTTCAGCTTGAGCACATCCATACAACTAGACTTTTTTTTTTCAAGGACATATTATTTTCCTATGTAAGTACTTTGTGTTTTTTAAAAATTTTTTAGAGAGAGAGAGAGTGCAAGAGTGAGAGCAGGCTTGGTCCTGCGATCCTGGGTTCACGACCTGAGCTGAAACCAAGAGCTTGACACTTCACCGCCTGCGTCACCAGCCCCCCTTACATACTTTTTGAGGGAAAAGATTATATCAGCATATAAATAAATAGTGTTTGAAGAGTATGAAAATCACATCTTGAGTGAAATGATAATTTATGATTAAGTAGCCAAGATAATACTCTAAATGCTTCAGCATTATTAGACTCTCTTCAAAGAAGTCACCAAAAGAAGAAAAACAAGGCGAAAACAAAGTAAGCTAATATACTAGAAACTGTGGCTCTCAGCAAATGGTAGAATCGTTCAGTTCCATTCAACTAGTATTTAATGAGTAACCTAAGTAGTGCCCAGTTCTCTGGAAGATGCTGGCAACCAAACAAGACTGCCTTTACTCTTGACAGACATTAAATTCATGGACGATATGCACAGAAATGTATCATTTTAACTCATGGCAGGTAGTGAATGTAATCCTAAATGCATGTTCACACTCTTCTGGGAAGTACTTAACTTCTTCAGACTGAACGAAGCTTCTTGAAGACATCTATACCAAGCCTTGAAAGTGAGCAAGAGCATTAGCTGCAGTAAGGCCTGCTACCACATGACAGGAAGAATTCTGGAAAATCTTAATCTGGCCAAGTCATACAGGATACAACAAAATTATTAGAATTTTTTGCTTTTTTCTTTGCCTACGTTATACATTATACATTCAAAGCAAAAGTTA